TAAACCAAAGTCAATATTTTCCTATATAAACAGCAGACTCCATCTAAATTCACTTTGACAAAGTCAATCTCCATCTAAATTCATTTTGACAAAGTCAATATTTTCCTATATAAACAGCTGAAAGCACTGATGATGATTCATTCGGAATCGAAATATGGCCTTATTTGCTCCATCTAAATTCATTTTGACAAAGTCAATATTTCCCTATATAAACAGCAGAAAGCACTGATGATGATTCATTCGGAATCGAAATATGGCCTTATTTGCAGCATGAATTCGGAAAATAAGTTTATTTTGAATTTTAATAAACTAAACGTTCACCAAAAAACTTTAGTGAGAAAAATTTAAAAAACGAACTACAGACATTAACGCCAAACATTCGGTAGAATTTATAGAATATTGTAAAAATTATGGTCTATTACCAACATTTATATATATATGTATATGCATATATATTTATGTATATATAACATATATTAATATATATATATATATATATATATATATATATATATATATATATATATCAGACCTTCTTATTATCATTTGTCGTTCAATATTTTAATAAGTGCAGATACAAACCATTATGCCAAATTGATAAATGGATAAACATGTTACATATAATGTACCTAAACCAACATATGGCTCCCATTTTCGTCTGGAGCCGGTCAGTTCAACGTATGAATTGAAATTTCAGCCATTAAGTTATCTCCTATTTCTTATTACAATCAGCAGCAACAAACGTTATTGGTCTGATCCCGATATTATGCCATGAGTTTAGAAATGTATCATTCATCGTTGTGTTTTCTGATATAATTTGAAGATTAAATTATGAGCCATTAAAAAATTGAAATTTATTAATCATCTTTCGACTCATCATACTTAACAAAAAATCGGAAGCTTTGAGATAGGCAACCGTTAAATTTTATCTTCAGGAAGGATTAAAAATAGATACTACATAATACTTTTGCTACTATTTATTTTAAAAGGTGAAAAGAAAGCGAAATTTATTTCTGCTTTTACTTTCACTAATTATTTATTTTTATAGAGGAGGATCTATTTGCATTCCTACCTGGCTGTACAGTTATTTCTATAGACATCAAAACCATAAATGATAAAATTACCAAAAAAGAGCTTTGACATCTTCATCATTAAGATGACCGTTAAAAAATCTTAAACTTCTAATAAGAATGAAACAATTGAGTTATCATCATCACCTCATTTTTATCACGTTACTAATTGTTTTTTTATTTTCCTATATTTTCAATTGCCAATTTTTATGTTGAAACAGTTTCTGCATCTGTCAGAATCTGATTTTAAAGAATTAAAAAAATGCAACAATCATCTTACTGACCACCATCATTTAGAACGGAATGTTCGAGAACGATGGAACAATTTACTACTTGGACTCCCCTCCTTATCCAGAGTGCTCCAAAGATGTTGTGCACACAATTATCGACCACGTGGACCATGTCGTCTTTACGCCTGAAACTGTTAAGCCAAGCAAGCCACAAGACGATGACGTTAGAGTCATCGTTCAATAGTCAACGCTGAATTGCGGACTATTCGGCTATTGTCGAACAGTTTTAGTTTTTTCATGAGTTTTAAAAGTATATACATAAATTATTTAGCTCATTATTTACTTATTTATTTATTCAACTGTCAATTTTGACCGAAACGGCGAATCTGGACCAGAGATCAAAAGACGGATTGCACTCGGCCGGGCTGCAATGCAAGGAATAGATAAAGTCTGGAGAAGCAAGGATGTGAGCATTGCAACGAAAACGAGACTCGTCAACGCCATTGTCTTTCCCATAGCAACTTATGGATGTGAAAATTGGACAATCAAGAAAGCGGAAAGAAGAAAGATCGACGCTTTTGAACTTAGGTGTTGGAGAAGACTACTGCGTATCCCTGGACATTGCGGACAACAAATAAAACGGTCTTAGACCGTATCAAGCCAAAAATGTCGCTTGAGGGCAAAATCGTCAAACAACAACTCTCCTTTTTCGGCCATGTTATGCGCGCAAATTCATTGGAAATTTCAATGATGCTAGGTAAAGTGAGTGGGACAAGAAGAAAAGGACGGCAAAGAATACGTTGGCTTGATACAATCACATCGGCCACCAAAATGACAATTTCAGAACTTAAAATAATCGTCGAGGACAGGAACGCACAGATCTATAAAGTGGCCGAAAGTCGACTTCGACTAAATGGCTAATCATCATCATTCAACTAACTTCGAATGAGTTTGCGGTAATTACTGTAATTGAATGTGGCTAATGTACCTACGTTTCGAAAGAATAGCTAAATAAAATAGAATACCCCAACTAAATTTTTGAAGTTTGACGACAAGCAAGAACCTCCCCCATGTTGGCTGTTTGTAGCAGTCGAAAGTTAACACTGATCCCGTTTCTAACAATGTGTTATTGTTGAAATAATAACACAAATTCCCGACACTCTTGTTAATCTCAGTCACAACTATTTTAATCTCTTGCAGATACTTTGAGTCTGTCTTGTTGTGTAGTAAATTAGGGCATGTTCAATTTTTTGCAATCAATCAATCAATCAATCAATCAATCAATCAATCAATCAATCAATCAATCAATCAATCAATCAATCAATCAATCAATCAATCAATCAATCAATCAATCAATCAATCAATCAATCAATCAATCAATCAATCAATCAATCAATCAATCAATCAATCAATCAATCAATCAATCAATCAATCAATCAATCAATCAATCAATCAATCAATCAATCAATCAATCAATCAATCAATCAATCAATCAATCAATCAATCAATCAATCAATCAATCAATCAATCAATCAATCAATCAATCAATCAATCAAACAATCAATCGATCGATCAATCAATCAATCAATCAATTAATCAATCAATCTATCAATCAATCAATCAATCAATCAATCAATCAAATCAATCAATCAATCAATCAATCAATCAGCTTGTAAAGCGCTATTTACGCGATGTTCAACTTCGTAAGTGATGGAGAAGTAGAGTAGTCAGAGAAGTAAGTAGAGAGTTCTAGAGGAAAGAGCCAAAAAAAGCAAAAGCAGATTTAGCAAAAGAGTGTTTAACACGAGTTAAGAAAAACAAGAACAAGAAGATGATCGTAAACCGGGGCGTTTTGGTTCAATTAATATATCTGATAAGTACTTTGGAAATAATTTAGGTTGAAACTTGTACATAAATGTGCAAATTTTAAAAATTATTCTATATTTTATAGATAGCCAGTGCAAAAGAACGAGATATGGAGATATATGAAAAAAGAATGGGGCACGAGCAACTAGACGAGCGGCAGAGTTAAAAGCTTTACTTAAATTCATTAGGTTCAATGGAGGTTCATTAGATTCGACCTCGTCGAACCTAATAAACCTCCATTGGCTTCCATTTCATTATCGAGTTTTATTTAAAATAGCTGTCATCATCTTCAAATTTTCAATCTCGCATTCACCTTCGTATCTCGGTGATCTTCTACATAGTAATACAAACAATCGTCAACTTTGCTCTGCCATCGCTCTACGTTTTCATCAGCATAATGCAGCAAACAATATTGCTGGTCGTGCATTCCGACATGCAGCTCCTCACGTTTGGAATTTGCTCCCGCCAAAGATTAAAAACTGCAGCTCTACACAGTCGTTCAAGTCGTCATTAAAAATTTTTTATTTTGGTAGAGCGTTTTAAACGTCTGACAGAGGATGTTTTTTGTTTCGAGGGCGCCTCAATCGCTTGACAGAGCGCTTTATAAGTCAACATTATCATTAAAGGATAGAGTATAGAATCAGGAAGACCATAGTAAATCAAGTTACAATAATCAACCTTAGGTAAGATTAACGAAGTAACAAGAAGGAGAAGAGAAGGATCATCAAGAAGATTTTTTATTCTACGTAGATGAAAGTAAGAACTTCTAGCAACACTATTAATCTGAGAAGAAAGAGACATACTAGAGTCAAAGATAAAGCCTAGACTGCAAAACTTGTGAGAAACATCAAGAGTTTTAGAATCAGGTAAGATAATAGGAGGAATTGTAAAGGAGTGTTAAAATTTATTGAAACAAAATAATTCAAATTTAGAAGGAAGGAAGTTTAGGACACATGGAGTCAGACAAAGCGATAACTGAAGAAAGACATAAAAGTAGATTATGAAGAACACTATTGAGATTAGATGGAGGAAAAGAAATATAAATATAAGAATCTTCAGCATATAGTTGACTGGTGAAAGAAAAATAATTAATAATACGAGGTAGTTTAGAAGTATAGAGCATAAATAGAAGAGGGCCAAGGATAGAACCCTGAGGTACCCCGAAGGTAAGAGTAGAGGAATTAGAAGTAGAATTATTGAGAACATGACATTACTTATTGTTTAGGAATTGAAAAAACTCTAATAGAAAACGTACAGGTGGAGTCTTGACTGCTGGTGAGGACAACCTTCGAAATGGGCTCACTCTTCTGCAGATCAATCACCCACCAACCAGGACCGTCGTCGACGGGCCCGTTACAATTTCCACATGCGACGGAAAAGGTTAGAGTATTCTTGTCAATGGCCAAGCCAGCGTGTTGATCTTTATATGTTCCTTTCTGATCGATTTTATATTTCGACAGTTACCAACCACAAAATCAACTGTTACGCTGTAATAAACATTTTCTCCGGTTGAAATTTCACAAAAACTCTGTAATTATGTTTGTAGTTCGTTCGTTTTTTCGATTTAATCGAAAAAACGAACTACAAACATATTAACGCCAAACATTCGGTATAATACAACTTGTTTAATCAGTTAAAACATTTTTCGAATCTTAAATTTATCTGAGTAACGAACGAAGTGATAGTGTAATTATGTAATGCAATCATTTGAAATGAATTGTAAGTGGTAAGCGTCAAAATGTCTTCTTTCTTTTGCTTCTATCTTCATTCAACATTTCATCGCCTGCCGATAACATAAATTTTTTGTTTAAAACTCTGACCCTCAGCCGGCTGCCAAGTGTCTTCATAACCGTTTAGTGTCAGGTCAGTTATTAAATTATAAACTATTAAATTTTTTTTTTTTTTCAAGTAATAATTTTATAAATGAAGAAAAATATTTCATCAAATAATTTATTTTCTTAACATTTCAAATAATTACTGTTGTTTCAATTTTATAATTTGTCAAAATTTTTTGTTCTCGAACAAAAAATTAGCGCCAAAAATTATAGTTAAAGGTGTAGGTAGAATCGTTAGTTTTGAAGGGATGAGGGGTCGTTGAACATGAGGCCGACGACGAAGAAGATGCAGACGACAGTGAAGACATGTACGAGGTCGGTTTGCTCTCTTTCTGACCTACAAAAATTTACGTAGGCCAATATCAATTTGAATTTTTCGTAGATTAATTTTTTAACTAAAAAATTTGTAAAAATAAATTTTCTTATTGAAGAATAAAACTGTGCAAAATATTTCACCAGGGTCGGGCTCGTTTCCGTTTTGTGAACATCGCTGCGAAATGATCTTCTGGCTAGTGATGACGTCACAATGATTATTATTTTTCGAACTGGCCATCGTCGTTCGTTCGGAACTGCTCATCCCTGTTTCCATGGCTACCCTGTCGGCCAACCTCTGCCGGAAGGCGATGGTCTGCCTCCACAGCAACGCCGCCAAATCAAAGGTCCATTTATTTTTGGATTCTCGACTGCGGACCTGCATCTTGTAGGAAGTGCCGGGAGTGCGTTTCCGGAACCAAACTTCGAAGGAAAGTCCATCGTCCCCCACACTCTCAGTAAGTCCCATTTCCGTTGTCTGTGTTGGGGGGGATGTGGATGATAACGATGAGGATGGTCATGATGGAGATGTAAAAGGTGATGAAGATGATGGTGATGACGAAGTTGATTTAATAGTGCTTTATAGATGAGTTGAATGAACTAAGGATAAAAATTAAGAAAAAGATGGTTAAAACGTTGGGGGATGGTTAACTCGTTGAACAAGAACACACTTTGAAGTTTAGATAGAAATTTAATTTTACAAAAAAAAACAACATATGAACTTTTTTTCATTTTGGCTTATTTCCGTTCATTTAAGGAAAATACTAAATTATGACGTAAAATATTTTACATTGTTGCGGTTGCGTTTGAGAACACCGAACCAAGAAGAGCTGTGTGCGGCCGAAGGAAAGAGTAATATTCGTTTGGATAGTCTGGACACGTGTTTCGTCCCCACCGGGGACTCATCAGCACCGGGGACTCATCAGCAGCCCGAATACCTATCAGAATAGTTATCGCAGTTTCTTATATAGCCGGCACAAATCATCTCGTTAGCTCGTGGTGTTTCATTTATTATTGAAGATTGTTAGTTTTTAGTCGTTAGGGTTTAAATCCGACAACACGGATTCTCCAATAATATCTTCTTCCATGTTTTGGTGGGGGACATCCCTGCAACTCCCCTCCCCACCTTAATCCGCCTCTGAAGAGGATTACCAAGTAAAAGTAAAAACTGAAAAGTAAGAATAAATTAAAATAAAAAAATAAAGAAAGTGACCCTAAGACTGAATTTGTAAGAATAAAAATCCTGTCCGCTGGCTTTCTTTTTTGTTTTTGTGAAGAGGAGGATGTCTTCGTAGAGGAAGACGTGGTAGGAAGTCCTCTTCATCTTCGTTGTTACCATCATCTCATCTCTTCTCAACAGCGTGCCCTGTTCCTCGAGATTCACCTGGTTGGTTAGTTGGTTGGTTGATTGTTTGGTTGGTTGTTTGACTGGTTGGTTTACTGGTTGGTTGGTTGACTGGTTGGTTTACTGATTGGCTGGTTGACTGGTTGGTTGACTGGTTGGTTGGTTGGTTGGATGGTCGGTCGGTCGGTTGGTTGGTTGGCCGGTTGGTTGGTTGGTCGGTTAGATAGATGAATGGATGGATGAATAAATAAATTAATGAATGAATAAAGATTGATTCAAATCTTTATAAAATGTTTGAATGATTAAGTTACAAATCAGTTGATCGATTGGTCGAATGTTTAACCAGTTAGTTGATTCAATTAATCATCATTATCATCACTACCACCATCATCACGACCATCATCATCATCACCATCACCACCATCCTACTTATCACCATCATCTATACCACCATCCCCACCATCATAATCACCTTAACCATTAACAACATCATCACTATCCCCATCATCGTCATCATCATCATTATCACCATCATCGTCATCAACATCACTATCACCATCGTCACCACCATCATTACCATCACCATCACTTTCATCATTATCATCACCACTCATTATAAAATTTGGACTCACGTCACATCCCAGTATGCAGTCAGCAGCGAGTAAGTCCTCGCCGTGCCTCAGTTCGAATCTCACCATCTCCAGGGCAGCCTTCATTCATTATTATTATTATTTTATTATTATTATTATTATTTTTATTATTTAATTATTACTATCTTACTTTATTTCATTCTACTATATACAGTGTTAGTTCTTTTTAATGCATGTTTTTAACCTTTTTTATGATGAAGCTAAAAGGATGTTCCTACAAAAATTGTTGTTATTATTATTAATATTATTTTATTATTATTATTATTATTGACGTTATTTTGATTGTATCTGTTGTAGTAGTAGTTGTTGTTGTTATTATTACAACTATTCAATAAAACTGCTATTGTTTATCTAGCTCACTCGTCAATCAACTCACAACTCGTCATCATCATCGTCGTCGTTGTCGTCACCAACATCACCCTCATCATCAACAACATCACCCCCATCGTCAACAACATCATCATCATTATCATCATCATGTCCATCATCATTATCATCATGGCCAACATCACCACCATCATCATCAGCCCCAACATCATCGTCGCCGTCATGATAACCATCATCGTCGTCGTTATCATCACCTTCGTCATCATCCCAACCTCAATTTCTTGAAACTCTGGCATGTGCAGTGGGCAGGAGTGCAGCAGACGTTTGAGCATGAGGGCGTACTTGGTCAGTCGTTGGATGGGCTTCAGCAGGAAACTCTCGAGGTCCATCGCACAGTTCAGCTCCTTTTGTTTCAACTGGCCAGGGCGATGGTGATGTTTATGATGGTGGTGATGTTGTTGCTGATGATGGTGATGTTGTTGATGATGATGATGATGATGATGATGTTGTTGACGATGGGGGTGATGTTGTTGATGATGAGGGTGATGTTGTTAGTGATGATGGTGATGTTGGTGATGGTGTTGGTGGTGTTGATGGTGTTGGTGGTGATGGTGTTGGTGGTGATGCAAATCATAATGATAATAATAACGATGATGATGATAATAACGATAATAATGATGATGACGATAATAACGATAACAATGATGATATAATGATAATGATGATGATGACGAGGATAGTAATGATACGTCACCTGGAAAAATTTCCTTCCACACTCTGACATCAGAGCGTCAGATTTTGGCTTGTTCTTACTGTACAGTGAATATAAATAAAACTCCGACTCCTACAGAAATTCAATTTAGTTAATTCCAAAGTTAAAGTCAAATCAAAATTAAAATCAAATCAAAAGTATAATTATTCTCATTGTTTCTATAACCTTTTTTAACCATGTTCATTTCCGATTAACTAAAAGTCGTCCCTCCCACCAAACCAACACACGTAAATAATTCCTACCTACATACCAACATGTGCATCATCATAATCTATCATCAGCTACTGATTGTCTCAGAACATCTCTCCAACGGTTTCTATCCTGGGCCAGTTCTCCAAGCGTCAATCGGGGTCTTCCTCTTGGCCAATTTGGACAATTCTGCCCGTTGTAGATCTTCGTACAAGCAGTCGATTCATCTTCTTTCCGTGGTGTTCCTCTTCTTCGTCTCGCCCCTTGGGGTTTATATGCCATGGCTTTCCCGGTGGGTCTATTTGAATTCACTTGCAACAAGTGTCCCGCCCATTTCATTCTGAACACGTCGGTTATGTATGGCTGACATTTTAATTGACCTTTTACGTCTGATCTCCTCATTTAGAGTATGGTCCTGATAACTGATTTTCATGATTGTTTGCGGCTATTGGTTTTTAGCTGCATTCAGTTTGTTCTCCGTGGCATGTGTTAAACTCCACACTTCCACACCGCGTAACAAAATCGGCAACACGCATGCGTTGAAGACTCTCATCTTCAGCTTCAGACTGATATCGTGTCGGTTCTTCCTTTCTTCTTTTTTCTTTAGCTGGTGATTTACTGAGATTATTTGGCAGCCGATACGCTGCTGTAGGTGTCAATGGATTCCGGACATTTCTTACTTTGCCATTCCAATCAATCCGATCCATTGCAACGGCCATTGCATGTGTTGGTTTTGCAGGTCCTCTTCAATATGTTTTATTCATGTCTTATTTTAAGCCAGAATCATGGTTTTTAAAAATCTTCTCTTGCAGTCTTTTGAAACCAACTCAACGAATTAACATATAAATATACCAAAACACACACCAACTCAACAAACCAACACATACTCAACAAACCAACACATACTCAACAAACCAACACATACTCAACAAACCAACATACACCATAATACACACATACTCAACAAACCAACATATACCCAAATACACACATACTCACATACTCACATGCTTCATGAAGGCAGCTCCCAGGGCATAGGGATGTCCCCGGCACAAATTCAAACTTTCATGAAACCTCTTAGAATGGAATTCGTATATCTTTTCGATGTTACCAAAGATTATGTATTTTTTCCCACGAAGTGTTTCCGGTAGCGAAACGAGAGCTGATTGTGTTTGGTGTCTTTGTTGTAGCAGTGGGATGTAGTTGGTGATGACGTGATAGAGGGAGTTAATGTAATCTAGCTCCGTGCTCATCAACTCGTTTGTCAAGCAGGCCAGTGATCTGTGTGTGTATTATTTTTTTTTAAACAAGTTTATTTCATGAAAACAGATGAAAAAGGATTCCAAAAGAAACCAAAATTCCAAATAACAAGGAACCCCACAAAAAATAATAAAACACATTAATGTTGTCAAACGTCAGTATCAATTTTTAAAAACTTATTAGTATTGTTACAAAATTTTAGAATTAAAAAACATATGCACAAAATTTAACTTGTTGCAACGAGAAAGAAAAAATTTTATCACGAAAAGACACATTATTATGTGTCTGTGTGTGTATTTATGTGTGTGTGTGTATATGTATATATATATATATATATATATATGTGTGTGTGTGTGTGTGTGTGTGTGTGTGTGTGTGTGTGTGTGTGTGTGCGCGCGTATGTATGTACGATAAATAATTAAAATAAACTAATGGTCATATGTTTTTGTGGCAAACAAATAAGATAATTATATAAAGTTCATATTTGTATAGAATGAGATTTTATAAAAAAAAAAAAAAAACTTTTTTTGCTTCAATGGGTCTTGAGATAGGGCATCATCGATTTTCAAAATTTCCACCTCATCAGATGTTGGGTGTGGTGAAAAAGTTGCTGCTGCTGCTGTCGTTGATGGTGATGATAACGATGACGATTTTGACGACGATGATGATGGTGATGTTTTTGATGGTGTAGTAGGTTTCCTCTTAAAAGTCTGACGAAACCAGCCATACTTACGTTTGAAAGGTTTGCTGCTGTCGTCATTGTTGTTGTTGCAGTTTTGAATTTTGTTTGGGGCCAATATCTCCCACAAGCTAATTGTTAAAAAATTAAATATATAAAGTAATAATTAAATATAAAGTTATGTTTAATACAATTTTTGGGTAGGGATTTTTGTGTCTGATTATTTAATTTTGTAAACGCTACGTTTGTAAAAGAAAAATGACTTCATTCTTCCCTTTAACATTTCTTGTCAACCAACTCGAACGTAAACGCAAATCTAGTGGCGAATCGCCTAGGCGGAAATGCACCACCTCCAACAGACCATGAAAGAAGAAAAAATCAAAGACTATGAATGTTCATTATTTTCTTGAGTAAACGGGAATTAGCTAATAACATGTCAAAAACTTTTGAATTTTGAAAGTAAATCCACAAGTAAATCCACCCCTTTCCACCGGAAAATCTCGGGCCTACCCCCGCGCAAATATATCTTTTCAACTGAACCATGGATATGTATCATGAATCGAACTACAAAAGGACCATTCAAAGCAGAAACAACTCTTAAACTTAACGGTTAACTCACTTTACGTTATTTATTATTATTTAAAAACTACTCGTTATACCTACGATTACACGCGCAACGAAATGTCTTATAAAAAAATTTACAAACAAGGAATGACAAAATTGAAATATAGTATTCGAAGTAAGAAAAAAAACCTACAATCTAATAATCCCATTAATACTCTTCTTCGTATCATTATAAATATAACATTTATTGATATATTAAAGGATATAACTATATATATTTTATTATTACAATAATAAATAATTATTAACACTATTTAATGATAGGTATAATGTTAGGTATTATTGTTAACATGTTAATAAATAGTTTGTTGGATATATTCTAATAATAAATATATGTATATATATATTATTTATATATATATATATACACATATATATTAATTATATTTAATATATGATTTTTTGACTTAATTTAGCATTCAAATTATTTTTTTCTGAAATTTAATCATTTCAATCGTTAAAAATTTTATTATGTTTTATTATTGTCGTTTTAAACGGCTCCAAAGTTTAAGAGAGCATAGATACTCGTGATATCCTGAAGAATTGTTACCTAGGTCGTTTTATATTGTTTTATGTATAATTGCCTTCTAAGAATCTATGGGTTTTTTCAGAGATAATTTTTTTTACTTAATTTCACTGCGTAAAATTGTGAAAATAAAATGGATTTAAATAAATATTAAATTAAGAACAGTAAATTTGATGTAAAATAGCGCAAAAATAACGTTGCCATGCCAACCACTGATTGATGAATAAAATCTGAAGCTCTTAACTTAATTTTTGAATAATTGAACTATAACATAAACGAAAATATTTTTTTTATTATTATCATTTATTTTTTTATGATTTTTTACAATTTTTATTAGTGTTTTAATAATAATTAATAATAATAATAGATAATATCTATATTTTGATACGTAAAAATTTATTTTTATTAAAAAAAAATTAATTTTCATCGTCCCAGGATGACTTTCTAACGCCATATAAATAATAAACACTGCTTTATTAGACGAGTTTCATTAACTTAAATGCCATAATTTGAAAAAAAAATGAAATGAAATATTTAACCTAGCATTTTATTTACGGCTATAGAACGCATCTTACTACAATTACAATCACGATGCGACGAGTCACCGTTGAAATTCTAAAAACCGAATAACTTTTTATTGCTTCCAGCTGTTTAATTCAGAAAATACTTTTATAGTGACGTTAAATATTTAACTCGGAGGTATCAATATTTTCTTCTTTCACGGCCCGATAGAATCCTCCACTACCTTCCTTCCTAGCTTCCCGAAACCGATTATCAAAAAAGAAACAACCGGCAACTTTTAACACTCGCTTGTTTCTGATGCACGCAATGATTAGCGTAATTAATTTGCGTAAACTAATGAATAAATTAACGAACAAGACTGTATGATAATTGCTTCGACAAATAACTCTTGCTAATTTGAAATGATGCGTCTTTCCAATTTGTGCAGACGGCAGTTTGGAGTGTTTTGAAATATTATAATTAGCAACTAGCGAGTAAGAAACAAATTAATGTTAAAATATTATTTTGCCTATATGAAAGTGGTTTGCAAATAAATAACTTTTTAAAAACTTATTATAATTACAAATTTGAATATAATGGCAAACCTACCTGTGACTTTTTCTCTTCATGACATCCTCGTCAACTCTTCCAGAAACAAGCAATGGAGCTAATTTGTTGCTTCCGTCAAGTTGGTTGGTGCTTCGGGATTTTGATTTCAAAGTTGATGTTGTTGTTGTGGTTGTAGTTGTTGAAGGCGTTGTTTTGGTGATGTTCATGTTGCTAATACTGTTGCCCTTGCAATTGTAGTGGTTAGTGTTGTTGTTGATGTTGTTGTTAGTTGCAGAAAATTTACATGAACTAATTTTTAGACTCTTGCGCTCATTTCTTTGGTACATTCCGTCCAATCGATGGTCTTCCTGGCTGTCGTTGTTGTTGATGCTGTTTGTTGTGTAGAAGACGTCATTGTAATAAAGGATGTTGTTGTCGTTGTTGCAGCGTAAATTGTTGTTGGTGTTGTCGTTGTTGTATCCTAAACTGTTGATGTTGTTTATGCTTTTGTTGGTTTTATTATTTTTGATGTTATTGTTGTTGTTCTTTTCAAAAACCATGCTCACGGCCCTTCTAAACCCACCCCATTTTGTGGATTTATTTTTGTTTCGAAAGTTTACAGATGTGGTGGTTGCAGGTTGTGTTGATGACAACGAGGTAGAATTTGTTGTTGTTGTTGGTAGCAGTGGTTGTTGTTGTTGTTGTGGCTGTTGTGATGAGAGCAAGGATGATGATGAGGAGGAGGAGGATGAGTTTGTCGGTATTAGTGATTGAGATGCTGAATGTGTAGGATTGTTGCTGTTGTTGTTGTTGATGTTATTGTTTTCAATGTTTTTGCTATAAAGGTTGTTGTTGATGTTATTTTTTGCCATTGTTTCTTGCTGAAGTGGTTCATACTCGTTCTCGAAGACAGGGAACTCAGTTACATATGGATATTTCTTTAGCTCAGTCGTTGTAGAACCATCGTTCGTTTCAACTATTTCTACGTTGTTGTAGGTGTTGTCAACATTGTTGAAAAATATTTTTTTGTTGTTGGAGATGGTTTCATGCTTTCCAGCTTCACTATTTAAGTAGTAGTTGTTTGGAAGAGTAGAGAGCATGTCTACGTACGAATCTGAATGGCAGATGGAAAAGTTTTCTGATTTTGGTCTGTTTTTTAATAATTTTGTGTGGCTGTTGTTGCCGCTGCTGCTGTCTAAAAATTTTCTGTAGCGTTTGTTTTTGACGTTATCAGTGATGTTTTCAGTCTTGATGTTGCTAAAGTAGTTGTTGTAATCATTGTTGTTGTAGTTCCGGTGAAAGAAGTTGTTGTAATTATCATTTATGTTGTTGTTGTTGTTGTTGTTGTTGGGGTTGTTAGTCTGATAATTAAGAGACTTAATGTCTGTGTAAATATTCCGAAAGGATTGCTGGTAGTTTGCATCGCTGCTGAGTAGCTCCACCAAGCCGCAGCTGGCAAAACTTTCGTATTCTGACTGAGTTGTCTTGAGGACAGATTTGCAAATAAATTCTTTTGTTGTTGTTGATGTTGTTGATGTTGTTGTTGTTGTTGGTGGTGGTGATGTTGTTGATGTTGTTGTTGTTGATGGTTTTGACTTCTGATGAGAGATACTCATTTTCGTTCCTTTCTTTTTAACAGAGGCAAAAAGTTTCCAAATGGATGAATTTTTTATCAAATCATCACCCACCCCATCACCCACCACATCCACCTCTGATTTCACTCGTCGAAAATTTGATTTTGTTTTGGAAGATTTCGATGTTTCTATTTCTGTTTTTGTTGATTTTGTTGTTGTAGACGACAATGACGATGGTTGTTGACGTTGCTGTTGTGGATGATGATGTCGTTGCTGTTGTTGTTGTTGGTGATGCTGAAAATTGAAATGTACATGTACTGGACTTATAGTTGATGATGTTGTTGTTGTTGTAGTTGATGTTGTTGTTGCTGCTGCTGATGTTGTTGAGAATGTTTTTATTGTTGTCGTTGTTGATGTTAATGATGTTGTTGTTGTTGATGTTGTTGTTGATGTTGTTATAGATGTTGTTGGTGTCATTAATACTGTTGAAACTGGTTGGAAGGTCGTGTCATTGATGTTGTTCCTGTTGTTCCCGCTATCTTCATTATTAAGTAATGATGCTGTAAAATCTGCAAATGTTAATTTTTTCAACACGTACTTATTTAAATCTAATGCTGATGATGTTGTTGTTGTCGTTGTTGTTGTTGTCGTTGTTGTCGCTGTATTTGTCGCTGTTGTATTTGTTGCTGTTGTTGATGATGATGCTGTTGAAGATAATTTTGTTAAAGAATAACTACTATCACTACCACTACCACTACTACTATAACTACTACTACTACTACTACTACTACTACTACTACTACTACTACTACTACTACTACTACTACTACTACTACTACTATTCAAAATACTGCATAGGAAGTTGTTGATTTTGTTATCAGTTATGTTGCTGTTGTTGTTGTAGTTGATGTTGTTGTTGTGGTGGTTATTTATGTTGTTGTAGCTGATGTTGTTGTGATAGTGGTTATTCATGTTGTTGTTGTTGTTATTGTTGAAGTTGATATTGTTGTTGTTGTTGTGGAGGTTATTTACGATGTTAACGTTGCTATTGCCATGGTTGATGTTCTTACTAAATGACATCAATTTCAAAAATTTCTCCTTCAGAAGATCGGCTGTTCGAACCGGCTTTCTATCGGATAGTTTCGAATATTCGGCGAATAGATTCGGATCGTAGCTGAAGCTCCGATCGAAGGTCGGATGACTGCGTAGTATCGACATGTCCGAAGTGGTTCTGCTGCCGTCGGTTGAGAATTTTTTGGAAAGATTCGGGAAAAACATGAGGCCTGATAGATCGCCGCAACCAGGTGAGGCTGTTGTCGCTGCTTAGGCGGCTGATGATGATG